TATCCCGTGTGGTTTCATGGATATGGAAGGAAAACCTCCGATATGGTTGAGTAAGGAGAATTGATAGGTAGCGTTAGGCCGGGGCACGTTGGCCGGGGTCACACTGTTCATACATCATGCAAAAGACAGTCTGCAAACACGAGTGATTGCAATATCCGTGGTTCGAATGCCGTGTGCCAAGTTCCCACCTTGAACTGAATGCCATGCGGCATTGGAAGCACGGATCTCGCGGTGACTCGCGCTCGAATATGTATGCAGACTGTCTTTATGATGTATAAGCAGTGCGACCCCGGCTTTACTCCTAGATATAAGCTGCCATAAAATGTGTCACATCCTGCGACTCATTTGATGTACTTTACGAAGGTTCAAATTGAAACAAGCAGCGAGAAGACGCCCGAAGGCGTTCACTACATGCGCTTACGTTTGTTTATTTTATTATTTTTTTTTTATATCGCGTTTCGTGATGAGCTATGAGCTAAAAAACTTCTCCGGCGTTCTTTCAAACGCAACACGCGGTGAGTCGTTGTGATCCAGACCCCGCCTCCCCCCCCCCCCCCCCTTTTTTTTCCCCTAAAAAAATGGCATGTGTATGCGAAACCATGACATCGAGTATGACGCTTCATACTGACGTCAGTGTGGTTAGTGTCGCGTCGAAGAGTTATGTGAGGATCGCGTACATGGGTCCAAGCACTGAGTCCAAGCGTATAGTCCTCCGGTACATTCGCTATGCTCCCTTCGCCAATGGCATTCGATCTGTCCCTGGAAAAACGGCCAGATTACAGCCGTCATTGCTGACCATCTGTCGTCTCACCGAGATACCGAGCCACTGAAACGGGCGTTGACGGGCCTCCACAAAGGCCAATGCTGGGGACAAGGACACATGAAGAGGAAAGAAAAACTGAAGGTCGGTCTTGGCGGCGCCTAAGCAGCTGCTTAAAAGCTTATATATTGTTTTTTATTTACTTGGTCGATAAGTACGGCGTCATGTTCGTCGAAATCTTAATTCGCTACAAAGAAGACCAGCTACGCAATGTTTAATGTGCCTAAAAGAAGAGGTCTGGGTTCTGAATACATTGATGCATGAAACTATACTCCGTGTCACATAAGGAAAAAAGAAAAAAAGGTTTTGAGGCATTACTCATGCGCAGCGCGAAGTAGCCATTACAAGATTGGGTTGTCAAAGAAAAGAAAAACGATGGTTTTGGCGTTTGAAAGCTGTATGTATCGGTTGGTGCTTAGCACCAAGTAAAGAGAGTTACGATCGTTGACAAGGCGGACAAGGCTCGAACTGGTTGTGCCGGTCGATGCGCCACTTATTGGTCCCGTACTCATTGGTGAATGCGCTCCTGCAGACGATGCTGTTGCTAGCCAATTACCGATACATCCCCTTTTTTGTATCTTTAAACAAATAATAAACAGGATAATAAAGTTGCGCGAAAGTCCTCGACTTTTCGCGCTGTTTTTAATTCCGAAGTATAAACAGGATACACACGCAACACACAAACACACCCACTCACCTAGTATATAGAATAGTTTTTCTCAGTCCTTTGGTGCGATACAATCACCCCTCTTGTTTCTCATCATAAGTCAAGCGCTGTGGCGGGATGATCACCTGAGCAAAGGTGGTGATGGTGGCGATCTCGTATTCTGACTGCGGTAGTGCTACTGGTACTGTTACCTTGAACTGCTTGTTTCGCTGGTGTTCCTACATTATCAGTGGCACTGTGTCCCGGCAGTGAGGATGCGGAAGGTGGCACACCTTCGCCGGCCGTGTAATATACCATCAGTGTCGAACTTATCGAGAAAGCGGATGCCTCTTCTGTCTTCAAAAGATGCTAGCGGTTCCTGTGCATTTCTCGCCCCTGATCTGTGCGAATTCGATATTATATCGGACCTTCGCCACCCACAACTTGCGCTTCTGTGTCCCAGGATTTCACCCCTCTTAATCGAACGCTGTCGCCTGTTTGTAACGGAATGATCGAGTTGATGTGCACGATCCAGGTTCTGGGCGTGCTTGCGTACGGAACGTGCTGAACGGGTCGCAAAGTCTGGCAGAAGAGCACGGGGCCTACGACCCATAAGTAGCTTTGCTTGAGCTGTCTCATACTCGAACGGCGTCGCACGGTAGTTAAAGAGGCCAAGCCAAAAGTCTTCGCCCGAGTGTTCGCATTTTTTTCAGGAGCCTTTCGACAACCTGCACACCTTTCTCGGCGAGGCCCTTGGATCTGGGGAAGTATGAACTGGAGGTCACAGGAACAAAATCAAGACGCGCAGCGAAATCTGAAAAGTCTCGTGTCGAGAACTGTGGTTCACCATCACCGCATACTTCAGTGGGTATCCCATGTCTAGAGAAAATGCCTTCCATCGCGCTGATGATCGCCTTTGAGGTCGTGTCCTGCAGTTCCAAAACTTCTGAAAAATTTGAATAAGAGTCATAGATAACCAGATAGTTTTTTTCCCGCAAATTGACGAAGGTCTGCTCCCACTCTTGCTCAGGGCTGCTTGGGCGTCTCTCAGAGCAACAGCGGTTCCTTGGGATGACGACATGTGAAGTGATGTCTGCGGTAATTCCTGGCCAGAACGTTAATTGTCGCGCGCAATACGTTTTTCCCGTCCCAGATGCCCGCAATGTACGCTCTTGAGTCTTGAGGAGTATACCGTCGACGGAGTTCCGATTGGGATGGCTTAAACTTGCCTTGCGGCACCGCTTCTCTCATCAGGCCATGAATGACGTTATGAAGTTCACTGTCTAGTGCTGTTTCTTTCACGAGACGTCTTTTGGTCTTATCGCTGACTATAGGGTAGACAGAACAGCTGTTACATGGACATCGTTAGTAGCTGAAGCACTGCTCCTGATCCTTATGCGGGACTTCGCATCCGCCAGTACCAGTCGCTTACCGGGGACGAACTGCAAGTTGAATTCGTACCGCATTAGACGCAAAAAGAGTCTCTGGAGCCGCGGTGGCATGTCCCCAATAGCATTTGTAACGTGAGCTACACTGGCCGAGGTTGAGCAGTTTCGCGTGGCTCGCATAATGAGCCGTGCTCCGTGCTGTGCAGGCGCGGGGAGCAGTGGCGTCACACGGCGCACAACTGGCGCGCCGGAGCCGCCGCCGCCGCGCCCACCTCGCCGGTCTGCGCATTCAAGAGGAGTGACGTCATAGCCGCGGCAGACGCACTGGCGCCGCCGCGTGCTTAGCTGTGCGCCTCCGTTGCGCAGTAGCCAAGTCTGACGCTGCACCGGAGCCGCTTGATAGCGCCTCTCATCCTGGCATAGCCGAGCTAAGCCACCACATTTTTTTTTTTTTCTTCGGCTGACGCCAATCGCTTCTTGCCCGGCTACATAGAGGAAAATCGCAGCCTTCTGCTCTTTTGTTCTCGTACCTTTAGTATTTCTGTAGCATTAGGAAATCACACATATATCTTGACTAGGGACTAGTCAAGTCGTTCGCCTGGGTTGGGACAGTACTCCGTTCCACCTTACGTCCGGACACAGCGGACGCTACGAGCTATCCTAGCCAATCCCGATCCGTGGACGTAGCCCGTGATAAGCTTTCCGCGCATCGCTGTGCACCCTCTCTAAGGTCACGTGTCACTCACACGGCTTTAGATTGGCTCCGATGGCTCGTAGCATCCGCTGAGCCCGAACGTAAGGTGAAACGGAGTATCATTAAGCTATTTTCAGCAGTTTTTTTTTTTGTCCCCACTGTCTCTACCAATCTTCTATTGTTTCGCTCGAAAATAAAGGGTGTCATTGTTACTATTATTTATATTATTATTATAATTAATCCGTGGGGAGAGGAGTACCGCGGACAAAAGTAATTGAGTATCCCCTACCCAAAAGTGTCCCCTCATATTAGAGTTTTAGTAGATCGTTCCGATACCTCCGATAGCCCCGATAACGATTCTATGTATGCGCAAGGGAGGCGGTGGCGGAGTATCGGGTATCGTTATCGGAGACATAGGAACGATCTACTAAAACTCTCTATTGTTGTCATCTTTAGTGGAATGATCAAGGCAGTGAAAAGCATCGTCTCCCCAATGAAAGCAGCGTACTTTCGGTGTAAATAAAACATGTTTTTTTTTTATTTTGTTGAAAATTAGGCAAGGTCGTTATGCATAGGTACGAAGAGGGAAACAGTGCCAAAAGTACGCAGGACCAAGAACGTGGAACACACAGAACGAGCACTGTCTGTTCCTCGTTCTTTGTCCTCCGTACTTTTGGCGCTGTTTCCCTCTTCGTAACTATGTTTTTCATTCCTTTATTTGATTTTTTTTTAAATTCGAAGTGCCCCGTGATTTTCAGCCTTGCGGTCATGCGCCTTCATCCTTTCCCTTAAAAGAAAGAGGGGAGAGAAAAACGCATCTTACGCCACAGAAATACGATCAGTTACGTAGATCTACGCCATAAATTACGATTATAAAGAACGAAAGACTGGAGACAAAATAACACGTTACGCCACGAATTACGTCAGAGATGTTTTCATGCTCTCGTTGATCTGAAAATAAAAATAAAGAATAGGCGAAGAGGATGGACACAGACATGGGGCAGAGATGAGGCAAGTCGCTCCTCGAAACTTTTCGCGTCACACCGATGTCGCACCGTGCCAAATCGTGCGCCCAATACAACCAACAGCAAAAACCAATCCTCATCCATAGTAAATCCGAGACAGAGGAATAAATAAATCAAAAAGAAAAACGATCAGAACGACTAAGACTTATTGAAACTTCATTGTTCTGACTGCTTTTTTTTATACTTTTTTTTTTTTCTGGTTTACTACAGATGTTACTTGCCAGACCAGCTCGCTTGCGTTTTTTTTTTTTTTTTTTCTTTTTTTTAGTTTTTATGCTGATAACAACCCTTTCCCTCAAAATCGCTTCGTCCCGCTGCGCAGCCGTCATCGCCATCAGCAAAAGAGTGTTATCAGCAGGTCCTTTGGCTGCTCGACTAATCCGGGGGTCGAAAAAAAGGGGGAGGGCACACGCGACGTTAGACCGGGAAAGGGATGGGTCCGGCCGAAAACAGGGTCACCAGCGGCGCTGGGCCGATGCGGACGTCCCCTTTCTGGCACCGTTTCTTCCTCCTCCCGCTGCTGAATCAACCTCCTCGCCGTCCGCGGCCGGCCCTTGCTCATCCACGGGCGACGCCGAAGCATCGGGAGGCCACCAGCCCTAGCGAACGGTTACTGGGTTGCCGCCGCCCGAAGCCGACTGACCGAGTAGCCCGGAGAAGCCGCGTGCGTCGTCGCTAAGCCGTCGTCGTCGAAGTCAATCGCCCGCGGAGACCCCAGTATCCTCGCCCCATGTCCACCTCGGTCGGGGTTCGGACGCCGGGTCGCTGTTGCGTCGTCGGCCGCTGCTGAATCGGATCTTGTTCCTGGCCCAAGGATGTTGCCCGAGTTCCACCATGCTTCGTCCTGGACTGTGCTGGGTGTCTTGCTCTGGGTGAGTGGGGAGGTTTCAGCATGTTCAGCTTTTTGGGTGGGACTGGTAGTACGGTCGTGTTTGGCTGAATGGCTGGTCGGGTGAAATGTTTCGAGACCAGATGGTTATGCGCATGCCGCTGGGGGTTTGGATGGCGTCGCATAAGGAGGAATCTAGGAGGTTGTTGAGTTGACGAAAGTAGACTCCTGAGATGTGTCAAAAAGGTAACAGCGAACACGACTCAAAGAGGTGTCAGCTTTCTCTGCCCGTGGGAAAGAAAAATTGACAGACTTGAGGTGTTTGAACTTGATGCACGCTAGTTGACACTGTCACACCTAGATAATTTGGAAGATAGGTTGCTCATCGCTTCTTCGACATTCCCTATTCTAATGCCCTCAAAAAAGTTGTTTAAAAATTCGTTTAAATGTTCCTAATTTCTGACGTCTTTAATATATAAATCAGCTATACCCCGGACGACTTTTGTCCCCAACGAGAAATAGGCACTCGGGTGTCGCGAAAAAGGTCCCGTTGTGTTTCGCCCTGTACCCGCTCCGTCTGCAACAATGCGACCTTTCCGCTTGCGGTCCCAAGGTCGTTTCGCGGGCGGCCCACCTTGTTTTTCCCGATCTATCTCGGTTGTCTTGTTTCTAACTGGGCCAGTGCGGTAACGACGCCAGATAAGCTTCCAAACTTCCTCCTCGCGGTTGTCGCGTGCGCGGGGAGCAAGGGCCTTCCCTTTCCGGCTTCCACGGCAGTGTTCGTCCTCGCCCTCTTCCGTGTCCTAGTCGTCCTGCGTTCGTGCACGTCCGCACATGTTTGATCTGTTCGATGCAATCGAAACGCCAATGTCAAGTCGCGCGTCTTTTCCTTGTGCGCGCATTTTCTGGCTAGAGGAAGTGCCGTTTTCAGTCGTCCGTACTGTGGTTGAAGTTCGCTGGACTTCATTGATGTCCGTTTCGAAAGGCAGCTGCAAAATCCTAATATTCGACGTTTCAAAGCTGCCGGAATCGGCTGAAGGACGTAATAGACCATTGCAGAATGCAGGGATTAGGTGTTCCACACGCGCACGCCTTTCCCGTATAAAAGATTTGAAGTAAATAACCAAAATAAAGCCTTGATGAACGCGCGTGCAAGATGCCATTTGTTTTAGGTATTTGCTTTAGAAAAGTTACTACTGCTGAGGCCAGCACGTGCGGCGCGTGGAACACCAATCCCGGCATTCTCCTTGATGCTTGGTTAATAAAGCAATAAGTCTATTTTCTTCCGCTAAAAAGGAGCGTGCAAGCGAAAAAGTGGAGGCACGCGCAATGCCGACAAACAATGCAGGCAGAAACGCGTCCGACACGTATTGGCGACGTGCGCGACCGAAAGCGTCGCTGTGGTCAGCCTTCCACGATTGGCCCAAAAGCTGACTATGACGTCAAAAAGGGTATACCATCGACGAAAATAAGAGGAATGAAAGAACTTTAATTTCGACAGTGTTGGCCGTGTTGCTTTGAGAGCGCAATGATTTCAGGCTTCCCCCATGCTATTTACGAACACCATCTAACTTGTTGTTCGCAAGGTAATGACGTCACAAGGGGGAACCATAGGAGGGCGCCACCAAAACATCTCGCCGCTGATGCTTTCATATGTCGTCTGCTGGGCCATTCAAAGACATGTGCTACAGCAGTTTCCATGTGTATTTTGCTTTTATTTAGTTTATATATGTACCAATGCAAGTTTTGCACGTGACTTGGCGCATGCTGACGGTGGTTATTCTCGAGAAAAGCATATATGATGGTATCCAATGTAGCACGCCGAAAAGGTACGTAGTACGCGCTCAGCGGTATGGCCGCTGAAGCGAAGTTCGTGCAAGCAGTTCGTTCCTTCTGTGATTTACCATTATCAATTGGTAACAGCAATTCGACGCCACGTTCTCCCTGTCGGTACATTTCAGTGTCGGGTACTGACCCGTCGCGCGCCCGTGCCGCGGCAGGCCGGTGGCGAGCTTGCGCAGCGACCTTCCGATAGCCGGTCAGGAAGCCCATCACCGACGTCTCGAGGCGGTCCGCTTCATACGGGCCATTAACGTGAGGAGTGCGGGGACCATAAAAGCATGATTGCGACCCGCGACGTTCGTCCCCGCACGTGGAGCGATGCCACTCTCCAACCCGTGGGGTCAGCCGGTACTTGCTGCGCTTTGCTTGCACGGCCTTTTTGTTCCCGGCCTCGAACCGCGAGGAATTTGTGACCCGACCGCGCTCCGGGGACGGATGGAGGGCTCCCGGTACCGTTTCAGAGAGCAAGATTACCCAAAGCGCCAGAGAACAAGGACTTGAGCGAAGAACCGCTTAAGTCCCACCGGAGCAAACTCCATGTTCTGAGGCAGCCAATCAACTGCTGCGCTCTTTCAGGCATCTGCGTTCGAGGTTGACTGACTGGAAATCAACGCGTTCAAAAGGCTCGTCCGATCCATTTGTACATTCGCAGCATTTCTCGTCGCAAATCTTCGAGATGAGTAAATCTGTTTCGCGTGTGTGGCGGACCACGGAGTCTTCATTTCCCAAACCGCGTGAACCTCCCTCCCAGGACCGCAGAACTTTCAGACAAACCTTGCGTTGCTGCGGCACGGGTCCATAGGGTGTATTGACTAAGGGCCATAGTGGAACTCATTCAGTCAGATCGGTCGACGGCGGCCTGTGCACGCTCATTTTGAGGACGGCTACCTCGCTTTGCACGTGCAAAGTGCTTCCGATGTCTGCAAACTTAGATCTCACTGAGTTACTCCCAAACTGCTCTCCATACGCGTCAGAGAGCAGAGACTCCAGACGCCCATTGGGACTAACTTCCATCTGTCTAAACGTGCACTCAACACACTTATTACACTGAAGAGGTACAGTGACAGTCCGCCAATCGCTTCATGTATGTGTACACTCTTCACGTCTCGTAATGTCCACTCAATTTTTTTTTTTTTTTTTTTTTTTTGGTGCTTGCTCCATCGGTCATGCAGGGACAGCTGAGTCAGGGAAGGGAAGTCTGCAACAAAGCGAAGCCTGAAAAGTGGGACACTTCTTTATTGTGGTCCTCCATTATGTGTCGCGAGAGCGAAACGCCAAAATGTCAGCACTCGCTCATGCCCCAGTCATCGCGAGGAATGTTCGGGCGTGTCCTTCAGAGAGACCAACCAGCGCGATGACCAAGCCGTTCCAGTTTCATTTTTAGGCTTCGCTGATTCACCGATTCGGGTGCAATCGCGCACATCCGAAATACAAGAAAAAAAAAGGGGGGGGGGGGGGGGGAGCAGCTTTCAGTGACAGGCGTCAGGACGATGCAAAGCGACAAGAAAAAAGTAAAAAAAAAAAAAAAAAAACCAGGATGGAGAGCCAGCTGGGTCAGTCGCGGATTCGTCACTGCCAAAGTTCGTGTGAATGCCACCCCCAGTTCTTTGTGTTTTGCTGTGTTTTCCTCTGATCGTTGAGATTGTGCAAGGGTTGCGTCACTTATTCAAATCGTAAAATGGGTTGCGTCTCGAAGTGTTTCGTTTTCATTGACGTATATTTTCTCTAGGCTATCGCTTTTATTCCGTCTGGATTACTTGGCACGTGAGCAGTTTTTCAGAACACGGTGATTTTAATTCAAGTGGACATATGGGGCGACACTGCCTTGAGTCCTGCGTGGGGTAAACGCAGAGCACCTTTTTAGAAACATGGGCTTGTAAGTAAATGGGTTTGGTACCCTCACTCTATCCCTGCTGGCCAAGCAGACAGCGTAGATGGCTCCTTTGTATCTACTTTGGGAACAAATATAAGCCGCAAAGGCAACAAAAGTGATGTTTGGGGGGCCGTATCTCGTCTCAATCTGCTGATAAGATGTAGCTAATGTTTTCGGATACAAATAGCGTGGTTGAACAAATCAGAGAAGCCTTTCAAGCACGTTGTTTTCTATCCACACTATTGGCTCTCTCCTTTCCCCCCCAACCTCTATTACAGCGCTTCTCCTCCTCCTCCCAATCTGGAACTTAAGTGGCAGCACTTGTTTGGAGAAATGGTGGATTCTTCGTAAAGCGGAACCGATTGTGGGATGAGAAACTTGGCCCATTTGCACGGCCAGCACACGGTCCTTCGCAATCCGCGAATCAGCCAGCGTTCTTGGGACGCGAGCACATGTCACGTGCGCAAAATCGCCAGCTCATTCGCCGCAGACTATGAAGGTTTCTTAGCTAAAGAACCCTTTACGATTTTGTAAATAAGGTAACGTCGCTTTTTAGAGGCGAAGTTCCTAGCCATGTCCGTCCGATGTACGGCGTCGGGTGCTCGTGCTCACGAGCACGTGCTCCCGTGCTCGTGTATGACAAAAAAACAACCGCATCTCTAGGTGGTGAATGATGTTGATTGGGGCAAAGCTCTGGTGGTGCTTGTCTGCGTAGACGGTGAGCCGCAGCATGCCGAGCCTTTCGTTCGTTTTCATCCATGTCAGAAAGAGAATGTGTGATATGGAACGTGGTTATATAGACCCGTAGCTCTGAAGTTTTGAGCAGCGCTCCAAGCGAGCAAAATAGAATATTCGGTTCGCGCTTCGAACATGCGTCAATAGGTTTCCCCACTACAGTTTTTTATACTCCGTTCCATTGTAAGTGCCAGCGTAGCAGAGGCTACCAGAGCGAGCTCCGAGCTTTCAGTGTCCCTGCTAAGCACGCGCGCTCGTGCGGTGCGAGCATCGTTCAGGGGAACATGCTTTAGCAAGTATAGCTTCGGCTTCGCTATCAAGTAAAGTGAAACCTACGGGCTCACGGACGCTATGAAAGAGAGTTGTTATCGCGCGTCTATAGATGCTGACAGATGTTTGCCATAGCGTTATTATAATGTACGCTAGAGGTTCAACTGGCGCTAGCGTCTATGCGACTTCCGGGAGGCAAATTGAAGCAGACAGCAAATAGTCTACTTTTGCGGTGCTCCCGTGCATTCCTATGGGAAAACGGGCGTGAAATTTGTCTCTTCGCCGGAAAATAACATGAATAACTTTTATTATTTCGGTTGTAC